CACACACACACACACACACACACACACAGGCTGTTGGCTCATCGAACATATAAGTCGCAAGGGCTTTACAAAAATCCCATAATTGCTCACCAGTCAAGGAAAACTTCAATGAGGGCGCTCGCAAATGCAACCACGCACTTAAATTAAAAATCGACCTTACCCAAGGAGGTTATTTGTAAGGTCCATGGCCTTACCGCAATCCGCGGAGCTGATCCAAGGACTATTCTTGAACATACAGGACTTAAGGTTACATATGATTGTACCAGGAATAATTATTAATTTCGGCCTCTCCGCATTGCAATTAAGGGAGACATTTACGAACGTTTGTTCATGAATATATTATAATTATCTGATCATTCATCATCTACGAAGACCTTACCCTTTCATTTTCCCCGAAAAAACAAAAACAAAACGAACGAAAGAACAAACAAACAAACAAACAAACAAACAAACAACAAAAAAGGTATTGTGAAAACTTTCATTGTTAGATAATTTACTTTTGTTTCGCAAAAACTACCTTTTATTTTTATTTTAGTCAAGCACTTTTTATTTATCTATTTATTTATACTATTATAATGGTCTTTTTTTGTTTATTTACTTTGAGTATGGCGACACAGGCGGGTAATGAGTCAAGAAAGTTCAGTAGCTAATTAGTCACTGTTAATGGTGCAAGAATTACATGCGTGCTAGAGAATAAAATTATCGAGTGCAAGAGTGTTTGCGCTTTTCCACTTAAGCGTGTCAGACATGGTTATAGCTATCAAAGAGCGCACCAATATATACACTGTGGTATCGTGTTGAAAATTAGGCCTCGTCAAAATAATGAAATCATAAAAACCAACAATTTTCCATCCGTGGGACAATTTCTGTATATTGTTTTATTTTGTTAAAAGTCTATTTAAAACTCATTTCTATCTGGAATTTTACTGAAAAACGTTGATAAAACGCACACACCTAAAATTTAATTAATTTGCAGTTTTCAAGAACACTCAAGCCTTGGAAGTCACAAAACTTGGGCGACCAATTTTCTCGCTAATTTTACCTCTGACACAAGTCAACCCCCACCTCCTTCAATAGAAAATTTGAAATCAAAATCAAGACAAATGAATAAGCTTTAGAAAATACGAATGTTATGTTACTACCCATTACGCCATCTGGCGTTTAGGGCAGCAACAAAGGATCTCCAGCTCTGTCTGTTTTGGGCCATCTTGGTCAGCGTTCCCCACGAATGATTCCAGGACTTTATTTCAGACTCTACTGTGCGTCTCCAGGTCACTTTGGGTCTGCCCCTTTTGCGATGTCTTTCGGGTGTCCAGTGGAGGACAGTCTTCACAATAGAGTCTGGTTCTCTTCTCAAAACATGCCAAATCCATCTCCATCTTCTCCTTTTTATTATGGTGGTCATGTCCTCTTGCCTACATTTTCGTAACAGATCTGCGTTGGAAATCTTGTCGGGCCAGAAGATTCTGAGTATTTGGCGTAAGCTGGTTGTATGAAAGGAAGACAGCTTGGCACGGTCATGATCAATCATCCTCCAGTATTCAGCTCCATAAATAGGATTGTGGATAGTACACCGCTGTTATACAGCTTTAACTTGGTTTCTATACTAAACTGTCCTGACTTCCAGATGTTGATCATGCTTCTGTGTACAGATCTTGCCTTGCCAAGTCTGTTCATTTTGTCTTCCTTTGTGCCGCCGTCAGTTTTGATTATGCTGCCTGGGTAGGTAAATGTGTCTGTTATAGGCAGGTCTGTGTTGTTCACCTAATAGAAGATACGAATGACTACATACTATTACACACGTATGTAGCCCAAAACTGACGAGTGCCTGATTCCACCGCGTTGTGACACATGTAGGCCTATATAAATTAAATTGATTAGAACACGAGGATTTCCCGATTATGTTAGAGATGGTAACGTTTCATAGTCATACGACTTCCATTTTTGACCTTTGACAGGGGTTGTGGCTACTAATGTACTTGCATTTTGTCGTGGTCTCTGAATTATTTTAGACCACGCTACAGCAGTCACGTAGGGGCTTATCTATGCATAAATTAAGGGCTTGTTACAAGAAACTGAATCGCATCCCTAATATTGTTCGGTTAGTGGGCAAAAAGAAACACACGCTTAAAGGGCTCTTTGTTTTACTTTCGTCCTCTATTACACAAGCCTATAACTGAACAGTGACTACTAATTATAAATAAGGAAGTGCCGTTACGTAACAGTTATACGGTAACAAGTATAATGTAATGTACACTATGCCACAGTCTCTGGCCATATTAAGGGTTAGCTGTTTTCAGAATTAATTATCTCCTGCTAAGGGTCTGGAAAGCAAATCTATTAGGCTAATCTAAAAAGGAAACACAAAGTTGGTGAAGTTGACCCTATTGTAAAATAAGTAGAGAGACTTCGATCTCAGGGCTTATTAGGGTTATTTGATTCATTTATTCATTCATTCATTCATTCATTCATTCGTTCATTCATTCATTTATCTATTTATTTATTTATTATCCGTACTGCAGCATCGACATATTAAACATAAGGAAATACCCTAACTTTTTCTAACAATATAATATAGTTTAGTCTCTACGGGTTTGTGGGGTAGCGGTGTCTCATACAGGAGACTTGAGTTCGATTCATGAGGAGGGAGAAAATAGTAATTGAGTATCTCGGATGTTGTATTCTTTTCAGCCCAGGGCCAGAAGCAGGCCATCTACATGCTTTACATGAAAACTTCTACTTAAAAAAAAAAAAACACTAAGAGGAAAGGACATTGACCAGGAACCATAAACACGAATTTGGTGCAAAAATGGAAGACACATGACAACTAGAACGAATCTTCCTTAACAGCATAGTTATTAGTAGCCTATAGGCCACAGATAGAACTAGTTTGTTTGACAAATTTATAGGCAATCTTGTCAGATCGGGACGCACAATCTGCAATAATAATGTGTACGACGGTGTGCTTATGTGTGAGCGCGAGAGTACAGTGTATGTGCAAATTAAACATTTTTTTAAACCGGTGAAGCAAGCCATGTAGCTGTGAGATAAATATAAATCTTTTCACTGAGTTCCAGGGGATATATTATCCTCGACTTCTTGCAGGCCCGACTGATCGTTATTTTCCCAGTTATGAAACTGCTTTCGATCTTGCCCTCCTTGTGAATAGAGGAGAGTATTCTTTTCCTCGTCTCTCCAATTCCAACTTCTTTCAGCCTGCCGTAGAGGCAACAAAAGGTCTCGTATCAATACCGACGCAATAGAGCTCACCAAATCTAAACATTTGAAACCTAAAGACGACAGTAGAGAAAGAATAAAGTTCCAAATAGGTATGTAATTTAATCATGGGTTTTTAAAAAAAAGTTTGTTCTTTTTCTATAAGGTTTAAGTGTTCCAAGAACTCGTCTCGTCCTAGAGAAATATTCCGATTACCGCTGCCAGACTTTTCTTTGACAAGATCACATTCTCGAAGATTTACTCTTAATTTGCTCCAGCCACGAAGTGTACTAGATTATATAAGAAAAGCAAAGAAAAGAAATGCTCCCCTATCCCATCTTCGGTAACGTTTGACTTTTTGAAGCTATCGTCACCAATATATCTTTCAAATGAAAAGAAAAATTCGTACTCATCTTCGTTTGATAGCTTTCTTTCTGTCTTCGTATCTAAAGGTCATTATTATTTTCTTTCACTTTCAGCAACTCCAGCGATTTTCTTCTTTTTTTTTTTAGGCTACTGTCAAAGGATTTTATCCTCCCAGTCAGCTGACGTGATTGCAGACAATGACATAGTAGCGCCCTCTTCCTGCCGTGTGTGCAGAGGTCACCTGTTAATTCCCCAGGTTTTTTTTCTTCGAACATGAGCGGATAAAAGTTATAAGCATCTATGTCATCAACAACCAATATTTCCTTCGAAAAGCAGAATCGACAGGAATAGCAATATATTTCCTTGAAAATCCGTCCACATGCTGTAAAAATGGATTCTTGTTTACGCTTATCTATTTTCCAAGAAAGCTCAATTGCGTCGAATCTGCACGATCCAATTTCCCTTGAAAGAGTTTGTATGTGTGTGTTGTGTGTGTGTGTGTGTGTGCGCGTGTGTGTGCGTATGCATATGTGTGTGTGTGTGTGTGTGTGTGTGTGTGTGTGTGTGTGTGTGTGTGTGTGTGTGTGTGTGTGTGTGTGTGTGTGTGTGTGTGTGTGTGGAGTGGGGAAAGGGAAGGTAGCAGAGAAAACCTGTTGGTGCCGATAAAGAGGAAAGGAGAGAGAGAGAGAGAGAGAGAGAGAGAGAGAGAGAGAGAGAGAGAGAGAGAGAGAGAGAGAGAGAGAGAGAGAGGGCACCCATGTTTTTGTTTCCTCTCTTACATTTAAAAAAGAAAAGACTGTTTTATGTTGCTTTCGATTCCTGAAACGTCATGGCTTACCCTTATTTTCGTCATAGTGTCATTCAAGTAGACATCTCCACGCATAGCAAAGAATTTCGTCAAACTGAAAAGGCCAATGCCACAAGATAATGCTTGGAAAACCAAACCAAATCATTGTTGGTGTAGTCACCAGTAACGTAGCCCCGATATGATATGAATCCTACAGGTATGTGAAGAGTGAAATACCATGAAACAGCAGCTGGAGAAATGCGACTTTGCTCCCAATAAAGACGCTTTGTTTGCAACTCTCTGTGACATTTGGAATGAAATGACATATATTTTGTCAAAAATTTAATAGAGGCGATGCCCAAAGGGCTCGTGCACAACACAAAACCAATGACCCCTAAGGGAAATATCAATGAGAACATTTCATGTTAAGTCCAAGTTTTGCTTGGTATTTGTGATTGCTATATTGTTTTCTGTTTTGCTTGAAACTATCGTGACAAAATATCAACATAGAACATTGTTTATTGCAATACAAAATTCTCCATAGATATGTAATGTATGTCCATTCTATCAATATTGAGACTCCTCCATACAAGGGCGAAGACACTTTTACGTTTCTTTGATTTCACACAATTTTGCCAAGCCTGGTTTTTTAAAGGTCAGTGTTGAGCGACCATATCTCGGACGTCTCTTAACATAGATGAAATATTAATGTGTCGGATGATTTAGAATGTTTCTTAGCTTTAAACTGGTATGCTGCATGAGTAGGTAAAGCGAGGCTTTAATTAACACTATGATTTGGTGATTACATTTTCACGTTTGTCAACGCCACTATAAGTGACTATCTATAGATCTGTGTATCTATCTATCTTTCTTTCACTATCAATCCAATCCCCTCCCTAACAAAAACACACGTACACATATACACACACACACAAACAGGGGCGAAGGCTGACTTGTTTGACAGGGTAATCAAAGTAAAACGGGACCAGATATGGCCTGTAGATATGACACAAGAATCTTACTCGAGGCGGCGACTCTGAGTTGTGAATGAAAACAAATCCGGAATTCATATTGTATGTTCAACCGCCAAAATAATCGGGAAAGTATCTTATTAAATATCAGTTCCAACTAAAATTAAATTTAACTTTAGATGTGAATACATAAACACAAAGCAAAGAAGCAGAGATGTCAGTACTAGATCTATATGTTATAGATCTACCAGTAAGTCTAACTCTTTGGTAGAACATGACAATTATCATTTTTTAAATTTTACATTTGGCTATTTTTGTTAGCCTTCCGCGGCCAGGAGCTGGTGTCATAATCGAGGTCACGATCTGATTATAGGACGGTAAAACGTCGAGGAAAAAAAGAAAGTATTTGCAACAGTGAAGAGATTGTTAGGAGTTAGTTCCCCTCACATTTGTGAGGTAGACTCGACCAGTGTTAGTTAGCTTACACAATCAGGGCTTGAGATTGATTTTAACTGTGACCCCAAAGGGGTGAACAGGGTATATGTGGCAATGAAACAGCTTAGACTACTATGCACATGTTCCCTTCATCTATATTGGTGGACTCTTTCAGCCTCACTTTAAGCTTACTTTATCAAAGCTTGCGACTGCTTATGGAGTGGCCCGAGAGGGGTGAGGAGGCTATTACTGTGACCGTGAAACCGTTTTGAATGTTAGGCGTACTGTTCATTGTTGATTACGAACGTCTTTTGACATTTAATTTAAGAGGTTTACGTTTATGGATGAATTTGACAGCGACAATGTTTCAAAATTAGGAAGGGAAGTAGTGATTATTTGATTATATAGACCCTTCGCCCCTGCACACAAACACACACACATATACACACACATGCATACACACACACACACACACACACACACACACACACACACACACACACACACACACACACCAGAACATTTCAGTTAATTACCATAATAAACATATGTTACTAATTCAAGGCGATAATTATCTTATTACCCGATGAAATGTTTTTTTCTTGAAAACATACATCCTTTTAGACGTCAGTGAATGTCATAAATAATCAATCGAATGTACTTAAACTCCACGTATCTTCAAGGCTGTGTTCTGCATGCCTAGTGTTGATCTGTTTAAAGTCTTACAGATAAACATAAGGAACATGACACACACATTCAGAACACTCGTGGTGGATAAAGAAACATTCCAGGTATGCTAGTACTCTTGGTTCTATAGCTTTGCAATTTGGTTTTTGTCATTTTGTGATACTTTTAAGAGGGCCCTCGCGGCCTAGGGGTTAAGGTGTTTGCCTCTTGTTCAATAGGTCCCGGGTTCGAATCGGGATAGAAAAGGAAAACTTTCTTCTCCAAATTTTTCTCCTTTCACATCCTTTTCTACTCTCTAACAATGTTCTGTTGTTTGCTTTCGTCTCCACTTTCTACCCCCACCCCCTCACCTTCTTTGCCTCATCCCCTTGGGCTCCTGACTCTTTCTGCAAAATGATCTGAATCGTGTCGATGGGGATGAAAAAAAAAGTCTACATAAAAAAAAGAACAATGAAGAAATGTCAGATTGTTTTGAGGTTGGGTTTTACGAGCGAACGAGTTTTGAAATCTGTGAGTGAATAAGTGAGCAGTTGGGTGTGAGTGCGCACGTGAATGAGTGTGCGCATTGTGGGTCTTCATACGACAGCTCAATTGAAGTATACCCAAAATATGTCAGAAAGCTTAGGATGTTTTGACTTTCTTAGCTTCATTGTCAACAAAAGCTCAGTTTTAATCCATGACTCAAAAATTAAAAATAATGTTTTGCTATTTCGCTCAGGGATACAAGTAAATTTATTCTTTCAATATAAACGGCATACATTCATTGTGCTGGTTTTAAAGCTGCCTGGAATTGCTTGGAGAAAAAAGAGGAGAGTTTAATATTGGAAAAGGTTGCCTTGCGTGTTGACTGTCAAACGGTGAACGCAGTTAAATCACGGTGCAACTGTCAACAATAGAAAGGAAAAATAACACATTATAGTAAGTCATCATACCTGAACACAGTGTCTTCACGTGGTGTTTCAACAACTATACAGAAAGACAAAACAATTCCATTATGTAATAATCATTACTGTCACAAATATGGGTGCTCAGACTTCTAGGCGGCAATAATTATCTCAAGTACCGGTACATTAAGCATTTTGAAAGTAAAGATGATACTCGTTCTGAAAGCTGTCTGTGCCGCTGGTCTGCTCCATACTCTTAAGGTGATGGATCTCCATTGTTTTGGTTGCCACAAAGAGTTCGACCAGGTCTTTGCCCAGGGCATCCACCAGCACAGCGTCCTCTTGTAGGCAGGTCAAGGCTGTCTCTAGGTCCGGTGGGAGGACACAGAAATCTTCTGTCTTATTTTGCAGGGGTATCTGTGAATTGGCATTATCGCAAAGTAATGAAACGATAAGGAGACTTGGCGATTTTGATTCAATAAGAACAAAGTGTTTTCAAAAATTAATTATTGCCCATCCATCGTTTCACCTGTAAGGTTGTATGTGTAACATGTTTAAACAATCTGAAACTCACATGGGGGTAATAATGTAAATAACCAGAGACAATAATTATATTATAATAATATTATATTTCATACCAAACGCTCACTTAAAGAACACCAATTCTGTTTTATCCTAATAAGAATAACCCACTATTTTGTACTCTTGGACTACTGGAGTTGACAAAGGTGAAGGTGGGTTTTTTCTGTACTGAAGACTCGGTACTTTGTTAGTTGAATTTTTCGATGAATGCCGTTTTTTATGTGAAAGGACAAAGGGAGACAAGTGGGGCATACAAAACTGATGTGTTTCCACTTTCGATAAGTTTCCTTGTTCGTGCTTGAAAAAAAAACCGGTTCATGTGAAAGGCTTCAGCTAAGCGAGAGCGAGAGTGAGAAAGAGAGGGGATCGAAAGAAACTCACATTTGGATTTTTTGTTTCTGGAATTGGTGCAGTTGACAGAGCAGAAGATCATTGATACTTCGAGCTACTTGGAGCCATGTCTGTCTGAGTCAGTGATCAACGAAAATGCTTTGAACAAGGAAGGCAGTTTGTATTGTTTACCGCGCTTATTTCCACTGTTAGCTGGTGACCCAGATGTTTCCCTCGTTAACCGTACCTTGTTCCTGATCCCGTCTATACCGGCGGCCACTGTGGCAGCCATGACCAGATAAGGATTTCCGGCTGAGCTGGGGAGTCTGTCCTCTGCGTAGATGTTGTTCTTTCGGGTTTTCCGCACCACGAAAGTCGCATTCTTGTCCAGCACAGACCAATCGCTCCTTGTTGGAAGACGTTCTTTTCCAATACGCCTGTAATAGTGTGAATTTTGGTCTTAGTAAAATGGCTTCCCTCAGTATGCCCACATTAAGTAACGAAGGGCCAAGAAGTTCCATCTATTTATCTCCTGAGGGGTACACCCACTAGGCTGGGACCCTCTTTTGGTACGAAATCTGAAAATTGCATATATGTATGTCACTGAATTGGTCATTCGATTAAAAACAAGAGAAATAATTTTGATAGTTCTTTATCTAATGATATAACTATTAAAAGATATCTGGTTTTCGACAATTGCCGGGAAGTAATTTGACATCTGACAGCAGTTTGTGGAGATAAAAAGTCAATGAGTTACTCTTGAATATTATTATTGCACTGTACACCCGTTTTTTGCGTGGTTTCGCGTTGTAGCCTTTTCGTTTTTCGCCATTTGTTGAGTCGCTTATGTAATGTATAATAATGTCTGTCGTACTACGGGATGTTTGCCAGTACGCAGCCGTCCCATACTTAGGCACAGTTTAACAACAACGCTATTGTGCCGTGCAGTTCAGAAAACGATTTTGAACAGAAAATACAACGACACAAAACAACAAAAACAACAAAAAAACCCAGACACCTCCCCCCCCCCCCAAAAAAAAAAAAAAGAAAAAAGAAAAGAAATCAATAGATATCCCGGCGTGCTTTATACACGTGCATCATGCTGTGTATGTGTTACTTTTGCGACTCCCTGTATCCTTCTTTTTGCTGTCTTTCAGCCACACCCCTGATCTTAGGGTAGGTAAGATGTAACACCTAGCCTTCTCAGATAGAGCAAAAATAATCTCGGAGGTCCCCTGTACAAGTCGCGAGCATTAAATATCCCTTGGTGCTCCAATAATTGATAGGCTCCAGTCACCATTCGGGCAAAATTCAAAATTAAATCCCACAAACCTGAAAATGCTTAGAGTGTCCCGCACGCTCATATGACCTTATGAACGTAATACACATATCCGGAAAAAATAATAACTTTTGCGAACGACTTGAGAAGGTGGATTTCTTAAAAAAATCGAGAGCATTGCGAATTCAAAAAGCGCACGAAAAAGAAACAAATATAAAAGTACAACCCGGTGTTCAAACAGACCCTGGTCAGCTGTGACTGGAACGTTTCTTACCGGTAACAGTTCACCGTGGGCATACAAAGAGCTGTCAGACCAGGTCCATGTTTGACAAGTCCAGCGATCCAGTGACGTGCCACATCTGACAGCTGATGGGTAGGGAAAAAAACACCACACATTAATAAAAGAACGAATTTGTTTTATGCCGGTTAATTTAAAGAAAATTAAGACAGCGTAATAAATAATCTGTTCAACTGATTGCTCTGGTAGTTCTTTCTAACATTAATATTGATGTGCTTTAACATAAGACCAACAAATCCCAAGCTTTGAAGGAACAATAATCATTTTTGACAATATTAATATTATTATCAATATAATAGAATTTCAATGCATAACAATGCACCGATATATGTACTACGTCACCAGCCTCTCTCACTCCCTGTGGCACCGCTAGTGGCTTGAAACATTGAGCCTCATTAACAATCAATAGACGATGGGCCTAACCCACAGAATTCTACACTTAGTGTAGAATTCTGTGGCCTAACCTCGCGTTGAGTATCTCGTCTGCTGGAGTTCGTCCGTTTGCCTGCTCTCTCAGTGAATAAAATTGTGGAGTGGACCCAGAAAACGAACTGACTTGAGGCTTGAGGTCCGCAGTCCGCTGGCCGAGAGAGCCAAATTGTGGAGTGTGGAGGGGACCAAAAAAACGAACTGTCTTGAGGTTCGCAGTTTGCTCGCATGGCCGTCCGTTACTCGTTCGCTCTGACTGAGTCCACGAGTAACGAACCCATCCGTCCGCTCGCCCCAACCCTACCAGCTAGACACCAAGTTCTATAATTAGCATTTGACACACTTTCCTTCTTTGTTACAACAGCGTTCTGAGAACTGAGAAGTACGATATAGAACTTTTGATTACATAATGATGGAAAACCGTTGTTTGCTCACTTTGTCCAGCTTGGTATAGTATCTGATTGTAGACTTGATCTGCATGGGACAACGTCACTGGTACAGTATCAATTGACTTTTGGTCGTCATAGAGGACAGTTCTTATTACATAATAATATTTACAGGTCGAGTGCACGTCGATATTGTGTGGGGGGTGAGTAGAAAGTAAAAGTCTTTGATTAAAGTACTGGGGGCCAGGACCAGCAGTTTATTGCTTCTCACTTTCAGTTTGTTTTCTATCATAGACTCTAGTAGTTTTTCTTTTTCTGTGCCAATCAAGTCAGTTTCTAATAATCTCAGTAACTTCCATCATACATTACATTATTCATAATATTGTTTCTTGACATGACACTACCATATTTCAGCTCTTTCACTTTCACATTATATGATAATGTTTACACTGGCGTGTGTGAGTGGGGGAGGGGGATGGGGATGGCGAAAGTAGGGGTATAAAATGTGGAGAGCTCTCTCTCTCTCTCTCTCTCTCTCTCTCTGTGTGTGTGTGTGTGTGTGTGTGTGTGTGTGTGTGTGTGTGTGTGTGTGTGTTGTGAAGGAAGGGGGTGGGGGGGGGGGGGGAGTCGATGTAAATGATGGCCGGTCAGTTCTATAAACCACGATCCGCCACTGGACGTGACGTTCCAGCACTTGCGCGATGTAGTCCTCTAAACGAAGCCTTTCGTTGATTCTCTCATGTGAGGTTTTGTTCAATCCAGCCAGACCACCCGCAAACCATGACAGTTTCGTGGCCGCTGTTCATCGCTGACAGATGATTATATCCGAAATCTAACCAACACAGTCCATGTGCCAAAAAGGTTTCTTTCTCTAGACTAAACCAACGGCTCCTAAACCAAATATCAATGAGCACATTGTATACATTCACTCGTCATTTGGTTTATATAACGTAAGGTATCTTTTTAAAGGCTTACCTGGTGTTCGTTTGGGTCGTCAACTAGCATATTTGCCCCATCCAACGTCCAAAGAGAATGGTTGAAGTGCAGTCCAATCCCGAAGTAGGCTGTTTTATCTACCTTTGACATAAAGGAAGCAACATAACCTTTCCTCTTGGAGAATGTTTTCACGTGACTTTTGAACAGCGCCGTGCCATCAGCTGCCTGTGAAGTCAATGAATAGACATGTCTCAGAAGCCTACTCGTTGTTTCAGACGTAGATCTAGCCTCAGGCAGCAGGGTTTCAGTCGGCACATTCATCTGCTATTTCGGAAATCAAATCAAGAATTAACAATGAAACCACAGTAGACTAATATAAGTTAGGAAAATATTCGATGGGTAAAAGTTCAATAATGTATCATGTTCATATTATGGAATCCCAAGTCCCCGACTTAAAATTGAACAGGCATTTTTATTTCATTTCGAGTGGTTATTAAATCAGCCTTTTTCGCTTTTAACGCGCAGGGTACGTCCTGAATGGACAATTCTGTTGCGTACTAGAATTTCCTACAAGAGTCACTTTTTTAAAAGTTGTCTGAGAAAAACATTGATCTGCCCTGAAATATGTTTGTCTTGATTGAACTTCTGAGTTACTGTTAACATATGATTACATATGATAGTATTTAGCCGCGTCAGAAAAGTGATTCTGAATGATGGAACACAAATTATAGTTATATCTCTGTGGCATTTACCTCTATGCCTTCGGCCACATCAAGCGTGACTTCGAAAAAATCGTTGTTGGTCTCAGGCTGTAGGGTTTCTATCTGCACATTCATCTGTTTGAGTTCGTTTAGGAGTTCCATGAAGAAATCCTATAATAAATACGAAAGCATGTATGTTATCACACTCTCAGGTTGAGAATTTTTAAAGTCATTTTCAATCCAGTTTTATAGGTGCCGACTTGCACCTCGTATGTTGTATTCTAAAACTTATGTCAAAAAACATCTCAAAAGCTTTGGAAGAACATGGTTTGGTTCTCTGGGGAGCGTGGTGATGCCGAAAAAAAAAGAAAGCAGCATATCGGAGAGCCGTTAACAATAACATTACAGAAAACAAAATTGCATATCGGAAAGCTTGAGATAAGGCATGTAGATGCTCGAGGGGAAAAAAGTCACTTTAGTAGAAAATATAAGTCCAAAAATAAACAGTCAGACACCCATCACAAAAAATTAGTTAGCACATAACAAGTCTTAGAAAAGCCCACCGACATCATCCGGCACAGAGAGAAGCCGTGGGGGGGGGGGGGGGGGGGCATCACATCACAAACACAAATAGACCGTCCTTCGCAAGGTTTATCCGAAACAAACTATCACACCTTGCAAAACATCCAAACCATCGGAGAACAACAACACATAAACCTCCACCCAAACCTACAACGCAGACTTTACAAAAGAGGAACTTACATTATGTACCTCGGACCAGGGCAATACACACACACACACACTGAACTCCGATCAGTAGAAACTTACCCACAAGAGCACTTACTGCCCCCAGCCTTGTTACGAACTAACGTAAAAATAAGGAACTTGTGTTTCACTCGCTTATGACCTAATGCAGTTGCAAGCAGCCTAAACCTTTCACATAACTTACGATTTCCTGTGAATATATAAAAGAATGAAGTACATGTACACGTATTATCTGCCTTTCTGTTGGGATGCACCCACAAATCAAATGAAATCTATGGTTTACTTAGAGACCGGCACTCAAAAGAAATACATGTACAAGACTGAAGTGGAGTAAAATCCACCATATAATTGGTCTATAACTATAATAACTTAGAAATTAACATTTGTGTGAACTAAGTGAAGTGAAAGTTCTAGCACACTGATTTATTGTTAGGGTTGTTTGCTGTTGTTTTTATGTTTTGTTTATATTTTGAAACCTTGTCCCTACTATGCATTTCTTTTTTTTTCTTTCTAAAAATGATCCTCCTTACCTTCTTCATAAATTCTTTAAATCGTCTTTACGTCATACTATAAAAAAATCTTGGGGTAATTTAAAGCATTGTGCTTTGGCAATGTCATTTCTTAAAGCGACTCTGACCATTCAACTGACCAGTTTCGGTTCAAGGTTATCCATGCATGACCAGTGCCAGGATTCGGTAGGGTCTGGTTGTCGTTTTGGGTCGTGCAGAATAAATTCTATTTCAAATGAAGATTTCAGAACAAATCCACGTTGCCTTAGTTCTTCCAACTGTAATACGGCTGCTGTTCGAGGAGAACTGCGATCCTTTAAGTCAGAAAGAGTGATTTGATTAGAGAACATTTGAAACCGTCGTACAGAAGAAGAAGAAGAAGAAGAAGAAGAAGAAGAAGAAGAAGAAGAAGAAGAAGGAGAAGGAGAAGAAGAAGAAGAAGAGTAGTAGGAGGAGGACAACAACGACGGTGGGCTGCATCACCCTCAACATCAACAACAAAAATAACAGCAAGAACCGTAAAACGACAATATTAATGGTAAATTGAAAAAAGAAATATTAGAGAGTGTCTGTTTGTGTTTATATACAGCGTATATATAGTGTTTGTGTGTGTGTGTGTTTGTGTGTGTGTGTGTGTGTGTGTGTGTGTGTGTGTGTGTGTGTTTGTGTGTGTGTGTGGTTGTGTGTACACCCACTTCAACCACCGTTTAGAAGCTAACATTGTGTACAGCCCACCTACACATAATTCCGAACGGGACGTTAAATTTAATAGTATACTGTCGCTACCTGTATTAATTGGATTGGAACCCACAGGGCAAGAGATCAAGGGGAAGACCTCGTGGAACCTGGAGAAGAATCACAGAAATTGATGTACAGAAAAGTGGGAAGACATGGAATAACATCAAGGGGCTAGCCCAGGATAGAGAAAGGTGGAAGGTGTTTGTCCGTGGCCTATACCCTGGTGCAGGGTGAGAAAGGCAATGATGATGACCTGTATTAATATCCTCACCGCACACCACATTTACCAGATCGCCCACGAATGAGTAATATCGTCCATTTAAGCAAACACAGGACTTAACTAGATGCTACTTACGCGTGTTCCGTTGAAGAATTCAAGGTCACATAACACACGTCCAACGGTCTGTGGCGTTCCGAGTGGACGAGGACAGGCGATAAGTGTGGACATGTCGGGCATCAGGAACTTGTCACAAATGTCCATCAGATGAGAATGATAAAAATACTTTCCGTCTATTGTGGAATAACAGAGGCCTGGAACAATTTTTGAAATCTCAACAGTATTTCCTTTTCATATAACTATATTATATTTAAAGTCTGCCGAAAGCCACCCCCCTCCTCACGCACACACACAAACACACACAAATGCAAACACACAAACAAACGCACACACAAACATACACAAATGCAAAACACAAACAAACGCACACACACAAAAACACACACGTACTACGTGTATGTCTTTTTTAGAAAATACAACGTACATATAATCTGAAATACAATAACACTTTAAAAAGTTTCTGATGTCAAGGCAGTTGCCATAATTTGGTTTACCTGGATAAGTTGCAATCCCTTCGTTCAGGCTATCTGTCACTTTTTTTCTTGAAAACATACGTCCCAATGGTCGGCAGTGAATGTCATAAACAACCAGTTGAATGTACTCAAAGTCCACGACGTCTCTATGGGCTTTGTTCTCCATGCTTTCAACGGATCCGCCGAAAGTCTGGGACATGAACAAAAAATGACTTGAGGAGAGATTTCAGAGTAGAAGTTTCAGAAAATCTGTCAACTGCTTAAGTTGGGAGCGTTCGGCTCAAATACAAAAAAAGATGGGCTTGTTATAAAATCCTCAATTTATGCGACGTTACACCGCAATGCTGTTCCATTCCGGACATCCACGATGTTAAGTTCTATACTTGTTGGCCTTTAACAGCATTGGTTCTTACCACAACTGGAGCATTTATTGAAACAACAATCAAAAGATTCCATGGTAACGAAGGTGTATTTTATGATGGTATGATTTTTATCGATGAAAAGTAAAAGATGACTGCCATCATTGTTTGGTCATCACAGATATACATTTAAAAGAAATTATAACAAATATAAGAGATCTGATTGATTTTTACAATCTTCACTGTCAAGTCACAGTCACATATGAACTTTTGTGCACACTTACCTATTTGAGGTTGCGCTGTAAAGTCGTGCTGCTATTGTTGATTTATGAAAGAAGTGTCATAGTTGAATATGAAAACTCTTAAGTCCTCCTAACGCAAGGGTATTTTTCACCTCAGATAGAAGTATATCCTTCGCTCTTAAAAAGCAATTCAATGGAAGTAACATTTAAAAAGAGCTCTTTTCTAGTTTTACTGTACATCGCCTCTTGAGCTTTTTTCACACTTCTCCCCAGGCACCACGAGTAAAGCTTTCATTTAAGACACTGTCAGGACACAATGTGTTTCACGACTGCTTTAATTTGCTTACGTTTGTTTTTAATATCAACGGCTCTCATTTTCAAGCTCAGAGTTGTGGAATGTACCCTCTCATCCCCTGGCTCGACAAGCATACCAGGTCAAAGCCCCAGGTGTTATTAAATGGCAAGCAATGACGCTCAAGCATGTACACCCATCACTGTGTGTAGTACAAGTTTCTAAATATTTCGAAATACAAAATTTGATATCTAAACTGATGTAAGAGTGTTCTAACAGGTGTGCAATTTGTGTGTGTGTGTGTGTGTGTGTGTGTGTGTGTGTGTGTGTGTGTGTGTGTGTGTGTGTGTGTGTGTGTGTGTGTGTGTTGCCGTGGTGATTTTTTAGTAACTGCTATTAAGTGCATTTTACTTATCTCATGTATCGCCTAAGCTTTGTCTAATAGAAATCTACATTCCCAAAAAGCTAGATTACTGCTTGAAAGGTGAAACGTCTCCCCCGAACCCAAAACATCACAAGAAGAGACAAACAGAGACACTTATATCTAAGAACAGCTGTTGCCTGTATTTGATAGAAAAATCAGCAAATAAAATAGTTGGACCACCTGTTACGAATGCCATCTCGAGAGACTATAACACTACGTTCTCAGCCTACAAGTACAGGGCTAAAGCAGTGTCTCTGGCTAAAGGTAGACCACGCAAAATATGGACTGAGAGAGTCAAAAGGACTTTGAGAAACAATATTGCAATAGAAAGAACTGAACATTTGGGCTACCGTGTACAACTGCATGTCCCATCTACGCTCAACGGCAAAAGAGGATATTTTAAAAAATAAATACAAATGTAAAGAATCAAATTCAAGAATCATTTTCATTTGGCCATAAAGCGTGTAAGTCGTGCATGGTAAACTTCATTAATATTCATTTAGCGTTTACAAAAGTATTGACTTTTAAAGCTAGGCATGTATTTGCGAATAGAGTAGAACTAAAATTTAAAGCACGTAAACCGGCCTGGAAGCCAGCCGGGTACGCGCCTTGTCACGCATTCCGGGACAAAGCAGCTATGTTCAGTTTGAAATACGAAATACTACGTATAGGTATAGGGCTCTGTGTTAGGACCACTGTTTTACATCTTTAAATAATACCATTTAATTATATCATGAGAAGTCAAGATTGTCCCTATTACATGTACGCAGACAACACCCATCTGTTTTAATGTCCACAGAACCAGACAACAAAATAAAGTATATGCATATGAGAGAAAGAGAGAGAGAGAGAGAGAGAGAGAGAGAGAGAGAGAGAGAGAGAGAGAGAGAGAGAGAGAGAGACAGACAGACAGACAGACAGACAGACAGACAGACAGACAGACAGACAGACAGACAGACAGACAGACAGACAGACAGACAGACAGACAGACAGAGAAAGAGGCACACACTCACAATAAGACAAACAAACAATTCATAATAAGTAAAATTGTGATGAAACCTGTGATATTGGATAGAACGCTATTTTGCATGATAATGGATTTCACTGTGTGTCTGTTCGGTGTCTCCTCTGTAATGGAAATTGCCATCAAAAGGCCAATGTTATCAGTGCATTACTTCTTTCAACTGCTGTAGGAGGTTGAACTTGCTTTCGTTATCCCTTAGTACAATTTGGTGGGTTCTGCGGTGATCGTTGCAACGTAGCGTCTTGGGATTTTAGCTTATCGCATAAGCCAGCGTATTCAATTTTGTACTCATCTTCCCATCTGAAGAATACTGGAGACAACGGATGTCTGTCGGATTTTGGACTTCCCACTTCTGACTAACTGCCAAGGGCCAAACTTAGTGAAATCCCATAAGAATTAGTGATTCACATGAACGACCTCGTCCTTGCAAAAAATGTTAACAAAGTCCATTGGAACAGAAATCATTGAGTTATTCAAGGGTTTTTTTTCGATAGTGGTATGAACAGAATAAATCTCAATGTACGTCTGCCATGTTGTGAGATACGTCTGCTATTATTGTTATTCTGTAAATTGAGCAGAAGATGATGAGGGCATTCGAAAATCAGCATTTCTATTTCGGTAACAGCCCCGTCTAAAAAGATAATCAGTTTAAGCCTAGATTCTACTATTATCGATTTTAGACCACCAAGGGATCTTTAACGTGCGCAACTTGCACACGGGCACTCCAAGATTTTTTTGCCCTTGTCCAAGAAGACTAGGTGTAGATCTTTCCTGCCAGAAGATCAGGGGTGTGGTTGAAAGAAAGCAGTAAGAAGGAGCCAAGGGGAAGCAGTAGAAAGGCTGCAGAAAGAGTCAGGAGTCCAGAGGAGGGGGCAAAGGAGGTGAGGTGGTGGGGGCAGAAAGTGTAGACGAAAGCGGACGACAGAACATTACAAGAAAGGAGGTGAAAGGAGACAATTTTATAGAAGAAAATTTTTCGGTCGCTATCCGGATTCGAACCCGGGACCTTTGAATGAGAGGCGAACAGCTTAACCTCTAGGCCACGAGAGTCCCCATATATATATATATATATATATATATATATATATATATATAAAATCAGAGTCGAAGCGTCTATATAATCAAATAATCACTGCTTCCCTTCCTAATTTTGAAACATTGTCGCATTCAAATTCACCCATAGACGTTAACCTCATAATTTAAATGTAAAAGGACGTTCATAATCACCAATGAACAATAAACTATGCCTAACCTTCAAAACCGTTTATTTGCTACAGAAATAGCCTGTTCGCCCCTATCGGGCCATTCCGTAAGCAGTCACAAGCTTTGATTAAGTAAGCTTAAAGTGAGGCTGGAAGAGTCTACCAACAGAGTTGAAGGGAACATAAATGTGCATAGCAGCCAAAACTGTTTCATTGCCGCATATATACCCTTTTCACCCCTTTCGAGCCACAGTTATAAGCAGCCCCACTCGCTGATTATGTAAGCTAACTATTACACTGGTCGAGTCTACCTCATAGATGTGAGGGGAACTAACTCCTAATAATATCTTGACTGCTGCGAGTGCTTATTTTTCCTTGACTTTTTAACGTCCTATAATCAGATCGTGACCTCGATTATGACACCGGCTCCTGGCCCCGAGAAGCTAGACAAAAAACAGCCGAATGTGAAATAAAAAATTAATAATTGGCATGCTCTACCAAGTGTTTCAGCTGTCTGGTATAATATGCCATTGTAGTACTGTCATCTCTGCTTCTTTCCTTGGTGTTCGTGTGTTCAAATCTTAACTTAAATTAAGGTTAGTTAGAATAAATATTACATGAAATACTTTCCCGATTATTTTAGCTGTTGAATATGCATACAACATGAATTCAGGATTTGTTTTCATTCACAGCTCAGAGTTGCCGCCTCCAGTGCCAGTAAGATTCTTGTGTGAGTCTGATATCTCCAGGCCCTATCTGGTCCCATCTCACTTTGATTACCCTGTCAAACAAGTCAGCCTTCGCCCCTATATAATTATACTTATACCTACTTCCAAAGAAAAATAAGCGCAAGGGGTGGGGGTGTGGGGTATGGGGGAGCACTTATTTGGAAGCTCAGAGTAAACCCCTCAATTTGACAGACTGTGAAGGAGATAAGAGCGAGGAAGCTTATAGAAAAGTGGAAACATCAAAATAAAAAGGAATAAATAAAGAAATAT